GGCTGCACATGGGCCTACCAAAGAATTTAATAATTATCAGTGTCTACATATTCTGGGTCGTACAATGGACGGCCCTCTGAGTCAAAACCACAAGCATGGCGTGGACGGAAAGTAATGTATCGAGCCACGCCACCATGTCGCTTCAGATACCAAAACTGGGCCTTCATTGACAATGTGTTGGACAGTCTCATTAAATCCATTGCACAATCTACATTTCAAATTTACATTTTGATGCAAAATCACACATTGACGATTTCTGTGTCCCTTTTCCGGCCAGCCGACTTCATCCAAGCGAAGGAACCTGCAGGGTTGTTTATCCTCTCAGCACACTGCACTTAAACCGATGCAGTGGTCGTAAAAACTGAGCCTGTGGCGCAGTATTATTGTTGTTGTTGTTGTTGTTGTTGTTGTTGTTGTTGATAATGACGGTTAATGGATCAGTGTGCAACCATACTGCATTTCAGCTCCCTGCACGAGTATTTATACTTGTTTATGGGGAGTACGGTATGAAGTTTGTATAGATGATATGGGTGTGATCAATTGACACGTACCTACAGCATGACATGTGTAATAAACAATTTAACGCATAGAAAGTAGAACTGCTTCAATCCTTTCACTGCCAGTAACTGAACAATAGTATAAAACAGTAGACGAATCTCTGTATGGTAAATGGTTCCAAAGTGACACAAACTATTGACATACACTATAGGTTCGACTACTTTATTAAATTGAATCAATAAATAGCAGTACTTCATGTTTTGTCAAAATACAAATACCTTTGTGTATAAAACCAGGGTATTATATGAACACACAATGCAATTTACGTACGAGAATCTGTACTTTACTAAGAAAGTGTTATCCCAAATATAATATTGGTTACATTTGACCACTTTCTAAATGGCATTGTGTGTTCATAACTTTCGGCCATGGGAGCCGTGCCAATTTACACTTGTCAGAGGGGTATACAAAGTATGTGATCTGGACAACCAGTTAGTTTAGTTTAAACATATTTTATTCTCATGAAATGGATTGGGCACAAGTTATCACAACTAAGAACGCCCTCTCCCATAGATTTACATGTATGCTTATTTACAGTTAATAAATCAAATGACAGCCAGTTTATGGAAGCCTCGGTGGCTGAGTGGGTTAGAGCGTTGACTTCGTGTGCTGGCGACTAGAGATTCACCCCAAACATTAAGAGAATCTGTACTTCACTAAGAAAGTAGTAACCCAAATATAACATTTGTTACAGATTATTATTATTATTATTATTATTATTATTATTATTATTATTATTATCACTATTATTATTTACGCAGTGATATTTGATTGGTAAGAAAGTAGAACATGTATTTGATAGTGATTCATGAACACATTCTCAAGAGACAGTCGAAATCGTACAATCGACAGGGCTATGGGAGGAGTGGTGTATCGCTTTTCTTTGACAATTTCCATTTGACCAACTGAATACAAACATGAACACTGTCTAGGTTTCAACAATTATTAAATAAGCCACCATGCAAACCCTATGCGATCGTGAAGAATGAGTGAGGGACATGCGTTTACCTCCGTGGTCGGCACCCGTTACAGAAGGATCGCATGCGATATATCACGTTTAAAGCAGACAAATCAGTCGCTTGAGCATGACTCACAATGTAAGCTGACAGAGTACGATGAAGCCATGGCATGTGTCACAAATACCTCCATTGTGCATGTCCATGTACAACCTGGAGGGTGCAGACCCCCATGCATTCCACAATCACAAACGTAACACCCGAACACATGCATTTCCTGAACATATGTACTTCCACCCTAACATTCTAAACATGCACTTTAATATATCCACACTCACACTTAAACATCATGAAGTATGCAACTCTTGATCATAGGAACATCCACCCTAAACCACATCAAAACATGGACTTCTTAAGCGTATCCACACTCTCGATAAAACACCGTAAAACACGTTACTTCTTGAACATATCCACACTCTAGAACAAGTACTTTTTCAACATATCCACGACCACAATGAAACGACCTAAAACATGCACTTCTTCAACATATCCATGCCTACAATAAAACGACCTAAAACAAGTACTTTTTCAACATATCCATGCCTACAATAAAACGACCTAAAACATGCACTTCTTCAACATATCCACGACCACAATAAAACGATCTAAAACATGCACTTTTTCAACATATCCAAACCTACAATAAAACGACCTAAAACATGCACTTCTTCAACATATCCCCGACCACAATAAAACGACCTAAAACATGCACTTTTTCAACATATCCAAACCTACAATAAAACGACCTAAAACATGCATTTTTCAACATATCAACGACCACAATACAACGATCTAAAACAAGTACTCTTTCAACATATCCATGCCTACAATAAAACGACCTAAAACATGCACTTCTTCAACATATCCACGACCACAATAAAACGACCTAAAACAAGTACTCTTTCAACATATCCACGACCACAATAAAACGACCTAAAACAAGTACTCTTTCAACATATCCACGACCACAAAAAAACGATATAAAACATGCACTTTTTCAACATATCCAAACCTACAATAAAACGATCTAAAACATGCACTTTTTCAACATATCCACACCTACAATAAAACGACCAAAAACATGCACTTCTTCAACATATCCACGACCACAATAAAACGACCTAAGACATGCACTTCTTAAAAATATCCACGACCCCAATACAACGACCCAAAACAAGTACTCTTTCAACATATCCATGCCTACAATAAAACGACCTAAGACTTGCACTTTTTCAACATATCCACGACCACAATAAAACGATCTAAAACATGCACTTTTCAACATATCGACGACCACAATAAAACGATATAAAACATGCACTTTTTCAACATATCCACGACCACACAAAAACGACCTAAGACATGCACTTTTTCAACATATTCACGACCACAATAAAACGACCTAAGTCATGCACTTTTCAACATATCCACGACCACAATAAAACGACCTAAAACAAGTACTTTATCAACATATCCACGCCCACAATAAGACGACCTAAACATGCACTTTTCATCATGACCACGACCGCAATAAAACTACCTAAAACATGCACTTCTTAAAAATATCCACGACCCCAATACAACGACCCAAAACAAGTACTCTTTCAACATATCCATGCCTACAATAAAACGACCTAAGACTTGCACTTTTTCAACATATCCACGACCACAATAAAACGATCTAAAACATGCACTTTTCAACATATCGACGACCACAATAAAACGATATAAAACATGCACTTTTTCAACATATCCACGACCACACAAAAACGACCTAAGACATGCACTTTTTCAACATATTCACGACCACAATAAAACGACCTAAGTCATGCACTTTTCAACATATCCACGACCACAATAAAACGACCTAAAACAAGTACTTTATCAACATATCCACGCCCACAATAAGACGACCTAAACATGCACTTTTCATCATGACCACGACCGCAATAAAACTACCTAAAACATGCACTTTTTCAACATATCCACGACCACAATAAAACGACCTAAAACATGCACTTTTTCAACATATCCACGCCCACCAAGAAGCTCCCTGAAGACACATGTTTTCCCTCCCCACCCTGAATGTGACAATTTCCCGTTCCTTTTATTCATTCCATTGGTTAACCATGGCAGTAGGCAAGATGCCCTCCACGTCTTCAACATGAATCAACATGAAAATAGCCGTCCACGTGTATTATAGACATACGTTTGGTGTAACACTTTGAGAGATACAGACAATGTCTTCTTCAGATCAACGGGGTCACACAAAGCATGCATGAACGAAGTCCTTGTTCTCAGAGAGGCAAAGAACACATGGACTAAAGCATGCATCATCTTCAACAATATACTCATGACAAATTGTCTTAAAATCAGCCTGAATGTTGCATATGTTTTGTGAGGCCATCTTTACTTCCCTGTGTGTAACGTGTGCCTACTTGCACATGACAGGCTGTGTATCCCAGAGTCCATTAGCTGGTCCATGCATGCTTGTCGTGTTTCATACTTAATATGTGACTACACATAGTATTATTACTTCCGATAAAATTAGGCGGGGGCGGGGGGGATTCAAAGTCAACATAGCATTGTTAAAATGTTTAACCTAAACTTCGGCCTACATTACAGTTATAGCATGCTTTAATATTCAAAATGAGTTTCTGTTTCTGTGAACATTAAATTCATTTATGCATGCTTGTGAACTATATACATACATTCCAATACTATGATAAACATAGGGCAAATCGTTTCATAAATACTCCCTATATGACATTCAGGGAAACAACATTAAAATGCATTATAATGTTAAAGAAATCTTAATCTGAAAGTATAAACAATGCAAATTACACAAACGTCGAGGTCAGGAGTCATTTCCATGTTATTGGGAAAAAATAAAAAATCTTAACTAAGATGAACGATGAAATATATAAAAGATTTCAAATCTGGTGTCCCACGCCGTGATATTGCTGGAATATTGCTGAAAGCGGCGTAAAACCATACTCAAATTTCAAATCATTCTCAGTTAAAATGAAACCACATACATTTCGTTGGACGATGTACAGTAGTGTACATTAGCGTTATCACACGACAGCATGTTATATAAGACGAACCGGCTGAAAGGCCATCGACAATTATCATGGTCATTACGTGTTTGATAAGAGCGTCATACACGTATTAAACTATTAACTCAATCAAGTCTGTACACACTAGAATATTGACCAAGAAAACAGCTGGATGATCGCTGTCTCCAGCGTTCAAACAGAACAGAGGACCGGGGTCGGGGGACATGCAAGTCCGTCAGCTGATTACGCGCACCGAGTAACATGCCCCGGCTATCTAGGTATAAGATAGGTGTGTGACCTACTCAATCTCGTCTTCACTAACGGAATAGCCAACAACAGTGACTCGAGAAAATAGTTTCTACCCTACCTTTTCTCATCGCACTCAGCAAACTTTCATACTTCTTCTGGTATGCCCGATACTCCTTGCGAATTTTGTTAACGGTTCGATTAACTGTTTTCTCCATTCGATGTTCAACACGTTTGACGATGTTGTGTTGACATCGGCGCCCACAATTGCGATGACGGTCATCGTGACGATGCTTTTTTAAGTCGAGTTGTTGGACGTGGATGACGAGAAGTATTAGCGTCAAGGTGAGCACACGGCCATTCATGACCACAGAACAAGCCTTTCTACTTGGCCCACGCGGATCATTCCTGCTCTCTTGAAACTCCTCGCTCCATTCAGCGTATGCTGTCTGTTAACACCACACACAACACCACAAACATGAATTAATAAGAACGAAACGACGTCGTAGCGTACGCCAAATTGATCCCAATATCCTGTGGTCACTGTAACGTCGGGTACATATGATCCTGGAGTACGTGGTATCCGAATTAAACGACTTTCTTCCCAGGCACAGAATGAATGACATGTCGAAGGAAAGACATTGTTTGAATGGCTGTCTCGCCAGGTGACAAGCTTCGCACTACCCAGGGGAATCAGGACACCACTTAACACGGTGTAAGACACGCAGGTAATATGTAGAATATCACACGCGTTGTCGTCCTGTCTTAATTTAGAAATCAACACTAAAGCTGGCACTAATTTTCGCTGTGGATGTGCCCATGTGCTAAACCGCCCACTATCTATTGCCACAGGCAGGTTGATTGGAGGGCCGGACAGGCTGTCAACGTGATCAGCTGTTGGGTCGAGGTGTAATCATACGGTGAATTTATGAATGAGTGAAACTTAACACATATCGCGAAATCAGATCGCTACATGTCGGCAGACAAAATGTCTTCTCGATATAAAATCGGGTAGGGATTTAGAAAGGTTGTGAAACGTCATATATAAGTCAAGACTGAAACCGGTTCGTTGATCCGGTTTCCACTCAACTGTACATACCCGGAAGTGGGTTCTTTCTTGAAGCGACATATTAGCTACGTAGCTAATTATATTTATGTGTGATATTTAAACTATGCAAGAGGTGTAGCGTTTGTGTGTACGTATCAGTAACGACTGAGGTAAGATGGTTACGTTGCGTGGGTGAACGTTCTTGCATTGTGCGGAGTAATCATTGAATATCTATGATTGTCTGGACATTTTTGTCGTTGTATCTGTAATGCATAATGCATATTGCATAAGAGGATACATGCAACTATTCATTGTTTCCTTATCATACCAGCTTTCCAAGAAGTGGCATTTTATTAATCTCCCAGTCATGAGAATTCCCACTTGCAAGGGGGCACAAGGGAGGACATGCATATCACTTCTTATAATGGGGCACAAGGGAGGACATGCAAATCACTTCTTATAATGGGGCACAAGCGGGCACCTGCAAAATCATCAGTACTTATAATGGGACATAAGCGGACGCCTGCAAAATCTTCACTTCTTATAATGGGGCACAAGCGAGCTCCTGGAAAATCTTTACTTCTTATAATGGGGCACAAGCGGGCACCTGCAAAATCTTCACTACTTATAATGGGGCATAAGCGGGCACCTGCAAAATCTTCACTTCTAATAATGGGGCACAAGACAGCATCTGTAAAATCACCACTTCTTATAACAGGTTACAAGAGAGCACCTCCAAAGTCACCACTTCCTCTAATAGGGTTCTCTCATAACTAGGTATAGAAGAACCAACTAAAGAGCCACTCCTTATAAGGTAGCATATCAAGTGTCTGAACATGTATGTGCGCAGCCTGAAAACAATTTGTTTGTTTAACGACGCACCTATAGCAGTATTCCAGATTTACGACTTGGGCCTGTGAATAATCCAGTCTGATCCAGGTAAACCAGTCACTCATATTATAAGCGACCACGGTCGACACTGTCGGGGTACGATGGCACACCATCAACCAAGTCACCGATCCTGACCGCCAGGTCTAATTGGTCGCCTCTAACGACCGACAGAGGTTGCTGGGGGCCTATTCTCACCCGGAATCCCCTAGGGGTGGGATATGAGGACGTACATTTGGCTGTACGTCAAAATATGGTCATCTCTCTGGCCAGCAAGAATCAGCACGAGGTTGGTGTGTATAGGGGAGAATCGGCGACCACAACCCACAAGCGCGGAGCTTGTGTACCCCAGTGCAGCCTCGAACAGACACTCCCTACCAAATATGGCACGAGATTCGCTGGTTCCCGTGGAATTCATCGGGCTAGCGCCGGAAAACAGCGAAAGTCCCTTGACTGCTTTTAACATCCGGCGCGCTTGTCACCGTTTCAAAAATCAAGACATCTGCCAATAGAGAGCAGTTTTTTTCCAAGTTTTACGGAAATAGCCGAACGTAAGGATCAAACACACCTGAATAATTTCGTTGCCAAACATGCCGCTGGGCACATGCAAATCAAGAGCAGATAACTGTGTGTTTGATATAGACAATACATCACATGAATACCTGGTCATACACAAAGGGGGCTTAGTGTCGCGAGTTCCTATGGAGACGCCGTTTTGAACACTATTGGTTTCAGCTTGGCGGCTTGCTGTGGGAGAAAAGACCGATGTGATGCAGGTTTTAGACGTTTATAAATGTGGTGAAACACAACGCGGCAACGGGTCTGGTGCAGGCAAACCTAGGAACACTCAGGGAGACTCCGGGATTCGAACCCACGATGATAGGTTCCTGACACGCCTAAGACACGCAAGTATTCACCAGTAGCATACGCTACTGCACCACCGTGTCCCTAGATCATAGGCAGGGGTAGACACTGTATCATATTCGACTAGTCCACATGCACGTGGGACTTAATGTTTTTGTTATCTTACGATACGTATGTTCGATTCTGATTGGCTGAGACCCATTCTATCATTTTAAATGTACCCCGCTAACATGTAAGGTACATTTCGTATGTTCCCCGTTCTAACTGCCGAACTGTTGGCATTGCACTGGTAACATAGCAACCACAATGTCGAATTAAAGGCCCCATTCTCTGGATATTTACGATATTTTCCGAATATTTGAATTAATTTAGAAGTTGGGTTCTAAGTAAGGACAGGATATATGGATGAACAACTTCATTACAGTAAACTACGGTTATAACGAACTCAAAGGGACCACCCATTTTAGTTCGTAATAACCGTAGTTCGTTATAAGCATATATACAGCATATATGCAACACATGGCCGGGGCTAACAAGTAAGTTCGTTATATCGGTCAGTTCGTTATACTCGTGTTCGTTATAACCGTAGTTTACTGTATTACAATATGGAGAGTGACGTGGTGTAGGTTTTAACACCGTTTTCAACAAGTGATGTACGGAGTATGGATGACAAGCATATATACAGGTATGAGGCAGTGTTTATGCAGATGAGTAGATTGGGATGTAGTTATGTTAGCTTATGTTCCCCGGGCCTGAACGAAGGGAGCATATACTTACATCGAGCGTACTTCAACCCATGTCCCCTCGCGATCGACGGACAACTTATAATGTTACCACGTTTGAGCAGTCTTCAAGATTAACACGTCTCGAGGCTAATGAAGTTGTGCTCGTCTGACCTCGACAAAGTATGCCGTTCGAATACAAACATCTGGCTGTAACAAACATCATGGCTACTGGAAAGTAAAGCCGTGAAACGCCCAATAGGTGGTGATATACAGGTACACGTTAGATTCTTAAGATATTTCGGCGAGAGTAAAAAAAATCGCAAATAAATGCAATTTCTAGATGTCCTCGTATATCTAAAAGTATGAATGGAAATAAATAGGCCCCAGAGAGTCGAGCTGAATAGAGGACAATGGCGACCTGGTTACGTACAGTATTGAAAGGTAGAGAGTGGGGCATGGCTTCGTATAATAAACCTCACGCCGACAATACAAAGACACGCTCACATTGACGGGGGTTAGCATCAGACAAACCGTAGCTCGTCATCGCTATATCTACAGCAAGAGACGGCCGGTGTTTCATGAATTAAAATCACAAATGTGAATGGGACATCTTTGGTCATGCATTTCACTTTGAATAAGTGAATATTGAAAGGACATTTCACCGCGAGGGGGCGTTACTTGATGTTTACTTCAGGGCGCAGTGATATATAATGGCAGACGACAATCGTAGAAGCGTTCTCGCCGAATGTTTTGAGTGTAGACAGATTACATGAAACATATTCTAGAGGTATACCAACTCTAGTACAAATACATTAGCTGCGCATGCACTTACCTTCGTCTCTTTACCACAGATAGTTCCCGGAACGATAACACTGCGTCTCACCCTTAGGGTGCGTGAGCTTTTAACAGTATTCCAGTTATATCACGGCGTATCAGCTTAATGTGGGAGGAAAGCCCGAAGTGATGCAGGTCTCAACGTTTAACACTTCGGTGAAACCCATGAAGCACGGGTATGGTGCTGACAAACCTAGAAACATAATCGGGGCGTACCGGGATTCGAACCCACAATCTTAGGTTTCTGGTGTGCGCAAGGGACAGCGAATTGCGACACCTTAGACGACTGGGCCGCCTGTTCCCCCACACATTACACAAACACCGTGAGATGTGAGGTATATCCAGTGGGTTAGTAGATCAAGATCACTGTATTCAGCAATATTCCATCTATATGACGGCGGTCTGTAAATAATCGTTTCTGGACCAGACAATCCAGAGACAGCAAGGGACAGCGAATTGCGACACCTTAGACGACTGGGCCGCCTGTTCCCCCACACATTACACAAACACCGTGAGATGTGAGGTATATCCAGTGGGTTAGTAGATCAAGATCACCGCATTCAGCAATATTCCATCTATATGACGGCGGTCTGTAAATAATCGTTTCTGGACCAGACAATCCAGAGATTGACACCGTGAGCATCAATCTACGCAACTGGAGTACGATGACATGCATCAAACAAGTCAGTGAGCCTGACCACCCGATCCCGTTAGTCGCCTCTTACGACAAGCATGGGTTGCTGAAGACCTATTCTCCACCCGGATCTGTATTGGTGAGTGAGTGAAACGGAGTTGACACTGCTTTAACAGTACTTCTGTTACAACAGGTCGTGTCAGTTTAAGGTGGGGTGTGTGCCCGAAGTGGCACAGGTCTTCGGCGTTTACCAGTTTAATTAAACCCATGAACGTGCCAACCTGGTGCAGACAAACCAAGGATCAAGAAACCAGGGCGAATTTGGGATTCAAACCCAAAGTTAGACAAGGGACGCGTGGGGATGTAAATCTACACAATGGATTTCGCCATGGGATATATTTAACTATTTTTATTCCTTTCTCACTGCACAACTAGCAGTAAGATAAAATATATAAAATCCTATTTATCTTCACAACCCTAATTTTCAAAAACAACATTCTTAATGAACAGAAACATTAATGATCACTTTCCTCATTTAGTCCAGCGAAGTCATTAGAAAAAAGAGCTGTTTCTTACGTGGCCGAAAACCTTCATTGATGAAGTATTGGAAGCGTGTGTTCAGGGTAACAATGCTTGGGCAAAATCACTGAAATCACAATTCTCTATGATGAAATAGTGCATATTAGAAAGTGGTAATTTAAGTCTTAGATCAATGAATAAGTGACATCAAATGTATTTGTTGGGATTCACTGCACCGGTGATGCGAGGTGTGCAGAGTATGAATTTCATGCTTTATGCTGCACACGGTCCAAGTGTCAGTTACATGATCAATCATTCAGCATGGGTTTGCAGTGACGACGCCAACAGGTACGTATGCACTTAAAAAACGAACGCCGAGACATCAAGCGGCATACGACAGAAATACTGCAAAGAAACTGACAGTAAAAACGTATTCTTTCGAGAAAATGTTCAAATATAACTGTGTGTGGTACATGACTTGTGTTAAGGGTG